TTGGGTTTGTATTATTTGCAATTAAAAGAGGCCTGACATACATTAGTGAAATTATGGATTAGCATTTCATTTATAAGATTATGCAATATTTCTTAGTGAACTGTCTGAGCCCTAAGAAGAAGGAAGAGTTCTGAATGTCTATCTTCTCAGTTTACTCCAAAGATGATACACTATTGCATCATCTTACATGCAGAGGCAACAAGTTGATTTGTCACTTCAAGGAATGCCTTTAAGAATTGGAGGCTTAGCTTCTGCAAGAATAGCAGTTTTAAATGAGAAATGCATCATTGATCCATTTTTAATTTTTTTAACAATAACTGTTTAGGTCATATTTTCACCTTGATTCCATGCTGCATGGTGTAGAAGCTCTCAGATGAAGCCTGGTGAGAAAATCAGGACATCACTTACTAACTAGCTGACCTTATGTGGGTCACCCTCTCTGTAACCTTATATATTTTGAAACATGAGTAATAATGTTTATACCTCAGGGCTGATGCAGGCAAGCATGTCATGTGTTTGCCATTAACAAATCCTTAGCTCATGTGAAAAAAATAGCTCCTGCCATTTATATTATTAATATACTTACTTTTCCTTATCAAACATATTGTTTTATTTCTTAACAGTTATCTGGTTGGTTAATGAACACCATTTATTTTTTATAATCTAGACTGTGTTTGAACAAATGAATGAATTTTAGTTTTTGCTTAGTTGCTCATTTTTTTATGTAATTTATAATGCACTGAGTTTCACATTAGTTTAAGCTTCAAGTTTGTTGTCAGAACTGAAGACTCAAGCATTCTTCACAGTGGGTAGTAATTCGGGACAGATAAATGAGCATTCAGGACTCATCTTTATTGTATAATTATGAACCGGAGTAGAAGGAGAATCAATGTTTTTCTAACTTGGCTGGAGAAAATTTGTGATATTTTTATCTCATATATACTCTGGATGCTGCATTACATATGCATGCCTAAGAAATAGCCATTAACCTCTATTTTCTAGAGTCTAGAATCTAGGGAAAAATTTGCTTATTTCCAACATTCTGTTAGCCTTGGACTGTACAAGGAAATCAGAATTTATTTACAAGTATCTTGAGACTCATGCTTAACTTGAGAAAGAAAACCTAGGCTCTAAACTTGCTTTGGAATTTCCCTCCCTGCTCTGCTTAGTAAATATTTCATAGGTGTTATTTTTAGTGTATGCTTTATATTACAAAAACCAGAAGCAATGTATAAGCTAATACCAGAAACATTTAAAATAATATATCACAAGAAACTAGCAGTGAGGATAAATATTGAATAAAAATGCATACATACCACCCCAAGGCAATGTTCTTCTATGTCATGGATCAGAAATAACAGTTTTATTATTTTTCAGATCAAACTGCACCAGCAATCTCCATGTGTAGTTCGTGGGAAGTACTGTCTATGGCTTACTGCTTGCAATGGCTGAATCTTGGCATGATTTCCATCTATAGCAGAGAATGTTACCTAAGGAAAGTACTGTACACATTACTTAGAATGTTCAGGGTTGCTATACCTGAGAACAAAGTTTGAATGATACTTATATAGAAATCAATATTTTTGGACTTCACCAATTAAAGATCTGTATCAAAGCTATTTTTTGTGACATTAAAAGGAACACAGATATGGAAGGGATTCTATGGTTTGTAGTGAGGCGCTACGGGCAGGTCTGCTTTTCTTCTTGCCCGTCTCCCACACGGCTAGCTTTACACCCAAAATAACAACACACAAACTGTTTAAACATTTAAACACTGCCTGGCCCATTAGCTCTGGCCTCTTACTGGCTAACTCTCACATCTTGATTAACCCATTTCTATTAATGTGTGTAGCACCACGTGGTGGTGGCTTACCAGGAAGATTCTAACCTACGTCCATCTTGGGCCGGAGTTCATTGCATCTACCTCATTGCCTTCGTCCCAGCATTCTGTTTTGTCTACTCTGCCCACGTAATTTTCTGCCTTATCAAAAGGACAAGGCAGTCTCTTTATTAACCAATGAAAGTAACACATAGACAGAAGGCCCACCTACATCAATGGTTATTTCATCCTTGAATTAGTTTCAGAGGTGCATTTAGGTCTGCTGTTTTTTTGCTTGTTGTTTATTGTAAATTTGTCTTGTTTGAATATTTTTTGGATAATAAAATTCTGTTTTCTTTAATAATCCATAATCTTGTCAGAAAGATTTTCCTGCCTATACTAACCCATGCTAACAAACTATGCATTTCTGTCCTGTTATGAAATTTTTAGTACATTGTTATCACATTGATTAGGATACTGTTAAGTACCTTACTGTAGTGTCTTAATCCTTGTTGCTAAGTAGCAAAGTAACAAATATATAGGAACATTCAACAGGCATTTTGCTAGGTTCACACATTGTCACTGTTACTTCCTGTTTTCATGACAAAACAAAATAATACAAAAGAAAAAATCTCCACCATTGACCAAGGTAATTTTCAAAGAAAAGCACTTACCTGGAGTTTTGCATACAGTTCAGAGGGTGTGTTCATGGCCATCATTGTGAGAAGTGTGGTAGCAGGCAGCCAGGCCAGACAGGTATGACAGTAGA